AAAAAAAAAAAAAAAAGAAAAGAAAATGCAAGTGGCTTATCCAGAGGCCCATGGCCAGAGAATGACAGCCCTGTCCCCTCTAGTTCCCCACCCTCTCTTGGGAGCTGGGAGCTGTGGGTTGGACTACTCCATAGAGAGCCCACGGGGCTGAGGGTCCTGTCGTCCATCCCTGGGAGCAGGGTGGCCTGCGTGTCTTAGCTGACATCCCTTCCCTCCCTTCTGAGGTCCTCTAGTCCCCTCCCTTCTGAGGTCCTCTAGTCCCCTCCTTCTCAGACGCTCCACTCCCAGGCAGGGCCTCAAGGTCACTCATCTCCTTGCGGTCAATCTCCCGTCCTTGGCTGCCTCACTTCCTGAGCTTACGCTGCACCCCCTTACCCCCAGCACTGGCTCCAATCTTCACTGTTTCTTTACCCGCTCCCTAACCCTCCTCACCCCAAAAGCGGCAGAAGGGCCTTGGCTGGGCTGGGCTGCACCCACCCACATTGAGACAACATCCTCCAGCTCCTGTTCCTTCTGGGATAACCAGGGGTTATCCCTCAGGAGAACACACCACAGAGAACGGGTTACCCACCAAGTTTGCAAGGGGGGGACCTCTGACTCCCATTGAGGGAAGGCTAGGATGTGGATATTTGTGGGGATGCAGAGCTGTGTTCTAGGTGAGGGACAAGCGTGAACAAGGACCTGCATCTGGTTGGAGTGTGTATGTTGAGGGGTAGCTAGGTCGGTGGGTGAGGGGTAAGGAGAAAGTGGGGACAGGGCAGGCAGAACATGGAGCCAAGGACCTGGCTGATTGCAGGGTGTGTCCTTGCAGGCCTGTCATTGGAGCTGACAGACGGGCTGGGACAGTCACAGAATTGGAGAAGCAAGCCTTTCCATGGGCACCACGGGGCTTCCACAGTGCATTTTGTAGCTTATGAAGAGTGATTTCGTACATACGAAAGAACATGAGTCACATATCCAAGTTATCCCAGCTACTTGGGAGTCTGAGGCAGGAGAATCGCTTGAACCCAGGAGGTGGAGGTTGCAGTGAGCTGAGACTGTGCCACTGCACTCCAGACTGGGCAACAGAGCAAGACTCCGTCTCAAAAACAAAACAAAAACAACAACAACAACAACAAAACACATCCAGGTAGTGATCCCTTATGCTTGGGCAATACGTTCCAAGACCTTCAGTGGATGCCCGAAACCTCAGATAGTACTGAACACATGCTGTGTTTCTTCAGTCTGATAACTCTGAGACCTACTAAGTGACTAACAGGTGGTAACCTTTACAGTGTGGGGAGGATTCACATCCTCTCCATCCCAGGGTGGGATGGAGAGGAAGGGCAAGAGATTTCATCACGCTACTCAGAACAGCATGCAATTTAAAACTTATGAATTGTTTATTTCTGGAATTTTCCACTTAATATTTTTTTGGACCTCGGTTGGCTGAAGGTAACTGAAACCTCAGGTAAGTGGGGACTACTGTAGACCAATGGAATGGAATAATTTGGCTACATTCAGTGACTCACGCCTGCAATCCCAGCACTTTGGGAGGCTGACACAGGCAGATCCCTTGAGCCCAGGAGTTCGAGACCAGCCTGGACAACATGGTGAAACCCTGTCTCTACAAAAAAAAAATACATAAATTAGTTGGGTGTGGTGGCACACCCCTATGATCTCAGCTACTTTGGAGCCTGGGTAGGAGAATCACTTGGGCCTGGGAGGTGGAGGTTCCAGTGAGCTGAGGTGGCACCACTGGACTCCAGCCTGGGCTACAGAGTGAGACCCTGTCTCAAAAATAAACAAATACACAATTAATTTTTTAATGCTTAGACTTTTACTTTACTTTTTTTTTTTTTTTTTGAGAGGGAGTCTATCTCTGTCACCAGGCTGGAGTGCAGCAGCGCAATCTCAGCTCACTGCAACCTCCACCTCATTTCAAGCGATTCTCTGGCCTCAGCCTCCCAAGTAGCTGGGACTACAGGCATGCACCACCACGCTCAGCTAATTTTTGTATTTTTAGTAAAGAAGGGGTTTCACCATGTTGGCCAAGATGGTCTCGATCTCTTGACCTCAAAATCCTCTCACCTTGGCTTCCCAAAGTGCTGGGATCACAGGCGTGAGCCACCACGTCCAGCCACTTTTCTTATTTAGGTCTTTATATGAACTTCATATTTTGTATATGATGTGTAATAAGAGTCTCATTTCATTTCTTTTCCTAATGGTTAATTCAATTTCTTAGCACAATTTACCCAACAGTCCATGGTACTGCCTCCACGTTCTATCTCCACAAACACAATACTTTCTCTGACATACACCATCTTTAGATATATGGGTCAGTTTCTGGCCTGTTTCATATTTCATTTGTCTGTCTTTAGGCTGATATCAGGGGCTGTCTTATTTTCCCATCTCACACTTCTTCAGGAGCAACTTGACATCCCATATCAGTGTTCATACAGGTGTTCACTGTAAAATTCTTTCAATTTTCTGGAGAAAAAGAGTGTTATGGCTCATCTGGCCCTTGCCCTTATATCACGATAAAATTTTTAAAGGCTCAGGTTTCAGACTGGGCCAGCTCCCAGCAGCCCCGACCCTTGGAGAAAAGGACAAGTTTTAGGACAGTAGTGGGACTTCCATATTCCAGCAGACATTTGAGTTATTTGCTGGTGCCCATTTCTTCTTCTTTTTTTGGAGACTGAGTCTCACTCTGTCGCACAAGCTGGAGTGCAGTGGCGCGATCTCAGCTCACTGCAACCTCCGCCTCCCGGGTTCTCCTGCCTCAGTCTCCCGAGTTGCTGGGATTACAGGCGCGCGCCACCACGCCCAGCTGATTTGTAAATTTAGTAGAGACGGGGTTTCACCATGTTAGCCAGGCTGATCTCCAACTTCCGACCTCTAGTGATCTGCCCGCCTCGGCCTCCCAAAGTGCTGGGATTACAGGCGTGAGCCACCGCGCCCGGCCTATGGTGCCCGTTTCACAGATGAGGGAAGTGACCCAGCCTCTCGGCCCCACTGAGGCACTGGGTCCCTGCCTGCTTCGTCTTGCCTTGCCCCCCAGCCCCTCTCCCCTGCCCTTCCATCTCCCCCGTCGGCTTCCCTTGCCAGTCTCTGGTTCTCTACCTCCTGCTGTTTAGTGCGGTTGAGACAGGGAGCACCAGGGAAGACGTGACTTGGCCCTGGCCACCCCGTGGGTCCGTGGGGCTGCCGCAGAACAAGGGTCTGTCACCAGGCCCCCTAGACATCCCTTGCTCCTGCCCTTGTCGGACTCTGATCGTGTCTCTGCTCCCCCAGGTCACCCTTTCCAACTATCTCCCTGTCTCCCAGCTGACGCGTCCGCGGCCCGAGCGCCCCGCTGGCTGCGAGCACCTTCCTCTCTGACTTCCCGCTTATCCGCTGCAACCCCGGTTCTGCCCCTCTCCAGCTCCCTCGGCCGCCGGCGCCTGAGTTCTCCGCGGCCACAAGGGGGCGCGCGCGGCCCAGTCTGGGCGCGGGAGCCGCCGAGCGCCCACCCCGTTCCTCCCGGCGCCCCGCCCCGTCCGGCCGCGGCCCCGCCCCTCCCGGCGCCCCGCCCCGTCCGGCCGCGGCCTCGCTCCCTCCGATCCCCCCGCGCCCGGGACCCTCGGCCCCCCTGTTGCGCCAGCCCGCCTGGTCCGGCCATGGGTCCCGCCGCTCGCCCCGCGCTGAGATCGCCGCCGCCGCCTCCGCCGCCGCCCCCGTCGCCGCTGCTGCTGCTGCTGCCCCTGCTGCCGCTGTGGCTGGGCCTGGCGGGGCCAGGGGCCGCGGCGGACGGCAGCGAGCCCGCGGCCGGGGCGGGGCGGGGCGGAGCCCGCGCCGTGCGGGTGGACGTGAGGCTGCCGCGCCAGGACGCTCTGGTCCTGGAGGGCGTCAGGATCGGCCCCGAAGCCGACACGGCGCCCCTGCTGGGCGGTCGCCTGCTGCTGGTGAGCGCTGCTGAGCCATCTGGCCGCATCACTAAACCCCTCTCCCGACCCGCCCTATAGACCCCGCACCCAGAACCGACCTTCATCCTCCACCGAGCGCTGGCAGTCCAGCGCCCCTCCCCAGGCTGCCCAGCCCCCAGCATTCAGGTTTCCCAGAGCCAGATGCGCTCCGAACTCTGGCCTTGCATCCAGTGTGACGACCCCGGCTCCCTCCTCCCCCACACCCGGCCTCTCTCTGCTCATGGCCCCTTGCCACGCAGATGGACATCGTGGATGCCGAGCAGGAGGCGCCCGTGGAAGGCTGGATTGCAGTGGCATACGTGGGCAAGGAGCAGGCGGGCCAGTTCCACCAGGAGAATAAGGGCAGTGGCCCGCAGGCCTATCCCAAGGCCCTGGTCCAGCAGGTGCAGGGGAGGTCTATGGGGGAGAGGGGCTGGAGGAAAGGATTCCAAGGCATCCGCTAGAGCCAGGCCCTCTTTAGGTAGGCCCTTAACGAGCTTGCAGAGAAGCCCTGGGCGTGCATGGGTCAGGTCACCCCAGTTTGAAGAATGGAGTCAGTATGGCCTCAAAGCAGGAAGGTGAGGAGAGGCCAGAGAGAGGTTGGGAAGCTTGACCAGCTCTGAGAGTATGGGGTGGGGGAGTTGCTGCTGGCGGCCACTGTGGGGACTCGGGGACTGCCCTGCTAGGACTGGGAAGGAACCCCGCATCTTGACGGGAGGTAGGAAGAAGCAGTTTCCGCCTTTGACCTCAAGGAGCTATGGCTAGTCTCCAGAATTTTGCTCACTGCAGGGCGGGAGGCCAAGAGCAGCTGGGGCTGCAGGTGGTGAGACAGGTGTGCAGGCAGAGTATATGCTAGCTTCTCGCCTTCTGTCCCTCTGCAGATGCGGCGGGCCCTCTTCCTGGGGGCCTCTGCCCTGCTTCTCCTCATCCTGAACCACAACGTGGTCCGAGAGGTAAATCAGACCAGGTCGTGAGGGTAAGCAAGCTGGGGAAAGGGGGACCCAGGCCTGCTGACCTCCCTGTCTCCCCGCAGCTGGACATATCCCAGCTTCTGCTCAGGCCAGTGATCGTCCTCCATTATTCCTCCAATGTCACCAAGCTGCTGGATGCACTGCTGCAGTGAGTTGGCATTTAGACTTCAGAGGCCTGGGCCTGGGCACAGAGTGCCCCTGGCTCTCCCACGGGCTGGGCAGGGCTTGGGACCAGGGTCTTACCTGTTAGATTTTTTTTTGTTTGTTTTCTTTTTGAGACAGAGTCTCGCTCTGTCGCCCAGGCTGGAGTGCAATGGCACAATCTCAGCTCACTGCAACCTCTGCCTCCCTGGTTCATGAAATTCTCCTGCCTCAGCCTCCTGAGTAGCTGGGATTACAGGTGTACACCACCATGCCCGACTATTTTGTTTGTTTGTTTAGTAGAGATGGGGTTTCACTATGTTGGCTAGACTGGTCTCAAACTCCTGACCTCCTCGTGATCTGCCCGCCTCAGACTCCCAGAGTGCTGGGATTACAGGTGTGAGGCACCGCGCCCAGCCATTTTTGGGTTTTTTTTTGAGTTTCACTTTTGTTTCCAGAGCTGGAGTGCAATGGCACAGTCTTGGCTCACTGGAACCTCTGCTTCCCAGGTTCAAGTGATTCTCCTGCCTCAGCCTCCCAAGTAGCTGAGGTCACAGGCACCCACCACCACACCCAGCTAATTTTTTGCATTTTTAGTAGAAAGACGTGGTTTCACCATTTTGGCAAGGCTGCTCTCGAACTCCTGACCTCAGGTGATCCACCTGCCTTGGCCTTCCAAAGTGCTGGGATTACAGGTGTGAGCCCTCATTGCCACTGCTGCTGTTGCTGCCCCTGCTGCCACTGTGGCTGGGCCTGGCAGGGCTCAGCCTACCTGTTAGCTTTAAGACTGCCCTCTGTGCTGGTAATGGTGGCTCATCCTGGCAGCACTTTGGTAAGCTGAGGCCGGAGTATCGCTCGAGTCCAGGAGTTTGAGACCAGCCTGGGCAACATGGCAAAACTCCGTCTCTACAAAAAATACAAAAATTAGCTGGGCGTGGTGGCACATGCCTGTAGTCCCAGCCAATCAGCAGACTGACGTGGGAGGATCACTGAAGCCCGGGAGGCAGAGGCTGCAGTGAGCTGTGATTGTGCCACTGCACTCCAGCCTGGGTAACAAAGGGAGACTCTGTCTCAAATTAAAAAAAAGAAAAAAAAAAAAAAAAAAAAAAAAAAAAAAAAAAAAAAAAAAAAAAAAAAAAAAAAAAAAAAAAAAAAAGACTGTCCACTCCAGGCTGAAAAATGGGTGAGGGGATGGGAAGGAGGTTCCAGAGCCTGGAGCTTGGAGCAAGGAGGTGGCTCTGTGGGCAGAGGGGACTGGCCCCAGCAAGGAGGAAGGTGGGCTCCTTGGGCTTGCAGGCTTCCTGGCCTTGCTGGTGTGAAAGCTGGAAAAACCAATAGAGGGCAGAGGGCTGGAGCAAAGTGGAAGGCCTACGGGGGTGACATTCTTAGGTATCCTTTTCCTGCAGAGCTGGGGTGGGTGGATCTGGGCCTTCCAAGAGTCCTTCCATCTGGCCCTGGTGACTTTCTCTCCCAGGAGGACCCAGGCCACGGCTGAAATTACCAGCGGAGAGTCCCTGTCTGCCAATATCGAGTGGAAGCTGACCTTGTGGACCACCTGTGGCCTCTCCAAGGATGGCTATGGAGGATGGCAGGACTTGGTCTGCTTGGGAGGCAGTCGTGCGCAGGAGCAGGTGGGTGCTAGCAGATTACAAGGGGCCTGGGGAGAGGAAGCTCATGGGGCCGCATACATCGCCTTGTCTTGCAAATCCTATGGCTTCTCCCCGCCTTGGTGGCAGGGACAGCCTCTCCCAGCCCACAGGAATGCTGTGAGTGTTCAGAGACATGGTGAGGTGAGCGCTTAGTGGGGCGCCTGGCCCAGGTCATGTGCAGTGCATGTTAGCTGCTGTCCTGGTGTTCTCCTGCAGCATTGGGAAGCCTTATTCCACTGCCTGTAGAATAAAGTTCAGGCCCCTTCACTTGGCTTTCACAGTTCTGCATTACTCACTCGCTCTGTTTTTCTAGCCCTGTTTCCTATGCTGTGGCTACCCTGTGCCAGTGACCACACATACCCTGGCCTTCGGCCACTGGGCCTTGTCTATGCCTAGCTGTAGACATGGACAACCTTTCTGTCCGTGTCCACATGTCCTAGTCTAGCTAGAACCTTCACAGCTCGCCCTGCCACCCTTCTTTGGAAAGCCTCCCTCGCACCCCAGCTTGAAGTCCCCTCTCTCCCTCTTCTGTATCACAGCAAGGCATGGTCAGGCCTTTCCTGGGCTTCTCAGGACAGCCTATCCTGCATGTGATGGGGCACATCACTGTCCCAACAGCCAGGACGGTGTTTTATCGTCTCTGGATTTCCAACACTTGGCGTCAGGCCATTCGGGGGTATTCGGTCCACAAGCATTTCTTGAGTCCCACAGTCACGTCTCGGTCTCCTGGTGTGCAGCCTCCAGCAGGCATTTGGCCAACGTGGACCGTGCAGGGCAGCTTCAAGATGGGCGATCTTGGGGTCAAATCCTGGTTCAGAAACCTTAGCTGACTGATCTCAGGCTGGGAGTTTCTCCGCCGTGGCCTCGTGTCCCTTTGCGAACAGGGACGGTACACTGCGTATCCCCGTCATGGGTGGCCCACACAGTCCTCTGGACAGAGCAGGCATCAGCAAGAGGCCTGAGGTGGGGCTGTGCACAGTCTGCAGGTTGCTCTGGCTGCTCCAGAGAGCAGAGCTGAGCAGCTTGGCCAGGCTACAGGCCGGGGTCAAGGTGGTCCCAACCCAAGTATTGGGTGGTCAAAGCAGCTGAGGTGTCTGAAGAGTGGTTGGGGTAGGCATCTCAGTGGCTGGCCTGATGGGCATCAGGCTCTCAGTCCTGACCCCAGGTCCCAGTCACCATCCCTCTAGCCTCTGAGATTCCAGAGCAGTAGCACCCATGTATCAGGAAGGTCTGATGAACAGCAGTGGCACCATCCTGGCTCACGGCAGCCTCGACCTCCTGGGTTCAAGGGACCCTCCCACCTCAGCCCCCCAAGTAGCTGGGACTACAAGCACATGCCACGATGTCTTGCTAATTTTTATATTTTTTGTAGAGATGGGGTTCCACTTTGTTGCCCAGGCTGGTCTCGAACTCCTGAGCTTGGGCAATTCTCCCACCGTGGCCTCCCAAAGTGCTGGGATAACAGGCATGAGCCACCATGCCTGGCTAATGAACAGTCCTTACTGCTCTGACGCCAAACCCCATCCTGCCTTCCATCTTCACCTGGAGCTCAAGCTGTGTTCTCCAGGATGCACTGAACCTGGCGCACATAGGGCTCCCCAGCATGCACTGAGCCTGGGCAGGCTGGGTCTCCGCATGAGCCTGGACAGGTTGGGTCTCTGGCCTGCACCAGAGCTTCAGGCTAGCCGTACCTTCAGCCCACCCAGCTGGCTGCTCTGAGGCTTACGCTGTGATGGCCACTCAGTTCTGGCATGGGGCTCAGGGGAGCGTCACTTTGTCTCCTGATGGCCAGGGCTGTGTTTTTTTTTTTTTTTTTTTTTTTTTTTTTTTTTTTTTTTTTTTTTTTTTTTTCCTTTCTATCAAAAAATTATTTTTTTTCACTTTTTTTTTTTTTTTTGAGACAGAGTCTCCCTTTGTTACCCAGGCTGGAGTGCA